TTCTACGCTGTTCAGCTTGCCATGATATTATATATTATCTGTATCATCCCTAATACGACGCAGCTCAGGCTAGTTTACTTGCTAAAGTCCTTAGTAATTGATTGTTAAGATTATTCAATGACAATTTGCTTTCTTTGCTGTTCAAACTATAGATCCCATCCCAGAACACAGCCTCGCTATGCTTAATGACATACATATATGTATATATATTATGAGTATATTCATTCAATATAACCATCTATTTCGCGCAATAAAAGCTGCGGACAAACGGTTCGACATTACGTACAATTTCGCAGGCAATCAATGTTGCGAGCCATATCACACGAGATTYGTTGCAAGCGATGTTGCTGAAGTAGAAAACGATCCATCTTCGGGAACGTTGTCTGCGATATTGCGCGCAAAGTTGACTCCTGAATCCGTAGCTTAAGCCCAGAGGAGTACTATGTGGAGAACATCCCATTCGATGCGGACTTTATAACATATTCCTTCAATGCGGACATTCTATTTACAACAGCAGCACCTTCTCCCTATCCTTTTCGCAAAGCCTTGAGATGAAAGAGTTTGTTGTAATGTCGTGACCGCGTTCTTGACGCACGATTGGCCATTTCTGACCGAACAATCTCTCATAAATGTTCATTATTTTTTTATTCTAATACGTTCACAATGCGAACACAATTCCTGTCTTACATTTTATGGCAATATCTTCCTTAGTTTCTTTCCTTCTTTCTTGGTTCGCTCTTCTTTCTTTTCTTAATCTCTTTCTTTTTTCCTCCTTTCTCCTCTCTTCTCTGTTTTTTAAGCCTCACAAAAAACAACGAGATAGGTTTCTCTGCTACGAGGGGTCCACAACGGTTGTCGCACTCATTCCAGACGCCTTTATTCTGTTAATACTCGTTAGAACTTTTATTTTAGACGCTATGCCGTAAGGAAGTATCACTGACTAGCCTAAATGTCGCCAGCACTCATCAGTGAACATGTAAAATAAACACGAATGGCACAGGTCCCCGGCCTCGTGCGCTCTGCCATTTGAAGAAAAAGCTTCTGAAGTTTTGTGCGACGGATAGTAAAAAACTCGGTAAACTCTTTGTCGGAGCATTGTACGAGATACGACAATAAAAAAATTGGTCCAACAAGTCTCCTCTTCTAAATATGGACACACAAATTCAAGCTAGTTTGAATTCATGCAGCTTGTAGCTGACCGGGGACAGAATCAGTCATTATTACGCGGTGTCCAAGTTACTCTATGATTGCCACTAAGTATTTATGCTTTATACAACGACGCAGCTAAAACTATTTTACTCGCTAGTTCTTTTTTTATTCCACGCTGTTCAGCTTACCATGATATCATATGTATTTATACACCGATGCAGCTCAAACTAGTTTACTCACTAGTTCTCTTTTTATTTCATGGTGTCCTGCTTACCTATAACCCATCATATTATATGCTTTATTACCGACGTATAGCTCAAATTAGTTTACTGGTTTACTTCTATATACAACTGAACACAGGGGACCTGATAATGAACCTTGGGGAAATCCACTATCACCTGAACAATTCAAACTTCAACAAAGTCTAAAATGCCATAATATTTTTGATACTTAGTCAACTCATGCGTATCGTCAATTAATTTCGATACCATTCTGTCGTGTATAGTTTTACAAGTCTGGTATCAGTCAGCGAAACCGCAAACTTGAATAAATAGCAATCAATTAAGCGCTGTTGACCTTATAATTATCAAGGCTTTAAAAGCCTTCAATTCCTTGTTTAACGATCATGGGACAGTCACGCGTCTTAACTGATGTGAAGTCAGTTGATTGGTTGATGAACGCGCAAGGCGTGTTCGTTGAAATTGAAACAAATTACTCAGCTCACGCGCACAAAGTTGAAGATTTTTCAGGATTTGTGACTAATCTTGTAATAACTATATATCATCGCATTAAGTGAAAAGTTTTCTTGATTTCATTTGTGATTTTTTGACTCGCGCAAGAATGTTCATCAGCAGAATCCGGCGCAAGTTTTCATTAGACTTCTTTCTCCCTGACACCACATGGTGCTCTGAGTGTTTGGCCAACATTTCGAACAATAGTAAGATTCCACAAAGTCTTATTATCAGCTGATTGAAATCCATTAACAAGAACTAGCTAGAAACACTCAGCGATTATTTTTGTGCAACATTAAGTTAAAAAGCATCACATTTGCGATCGAGATCTTGAAACGATATCGCGCGGTGAGTTTACCTGTACCTGTCAAGATGGCGTACTCCAACTCAGAAGCCTTAGAAGTGTCTTACTTAACTACCACAGCGGATGAAAGACTAAAAAACAAACGATATGAAAAGATAACATTTTAGGATTTAAAACATTTGCGAATATCAAAATGTTATTCTTGTCAGCGTTTGAATATTTCTCTTTAGCATATTCAAATTGAAATCATAAAAAAATTTGCAAAGAATGATCTTAGATTGAATCTTTCTCAAAGTTATACTTAAGGCTCTGTTACACTGTGCAATTTTCTCAGAATATTTTCTCGCAACTTTTTGTTGTTGTTGCGCACTCAGTTCTACTTCTCGCAACGGATTGCAACAACTGACAACGCCATTRCACAGTGTATCATCCCTCCAACAACGTTTCTCGCAATTTTAAGGCATATTTTTTTAAGAGCGCAAGCGCACATTTCTCGTTCTTTCGGAATAGCAAAAAAGTGTATCAATTTTCTTAGATCAGACATTGTGAGACAAGTTACCGAGAAAATTGCGAAGTGTGTCAGGATTTCTTAGACTGAGTCAGCAAATATCAAGTTCAGTTCTGCATATAGCGCTTTTCTTGGACTGTACGTTACGTCATCACGGCCATGTTGGTACGTTTTCTTGCCTGTTATCTCGTATTCCTAGAACCCTTAATAGAGATTCATTCAACTATGTATGGCCTAAACTTTTTCATCTTTAAGAAAGAAATACTGTTATTCCTCTTCAACAAATTTAATGAAACTTTTGAGAGCTCCTATCTAATAATTCTCACAATTGGAGAATGTTTGAATTACCGACACCGTGGGGTGAAATTAGAACTTGAAATAAATATGCATGGGCGAGTTCAATTATTGGAGAGCAGTTTGTATAAAGCACGTACCTTGGTTTGTGTTATGCTTGCCTTCTTAAGACTTCAAATGATATCAATATAGACAATACTCAGTATAATCCGATAAACCACTTAAGTTTAAATTCAAGGCTGTTTCCTGTTGTCTGGTCTCTTCCATAGTCAGTTTTGTCGTTTTCTAATTTGTTGGTTGATTTGCCAACGGCTCTCAAGGTGTTTCGTATGACTACTAATGGTGAAAGAGAGAAAGCGCCATCAAGACTGCTAAGCAGTTGAATTTGCTCTAGACGCCGTCACTTGAAAAGGCACGCGCTCTTTTGCCGCGCCGCCCGATGGCGAATAGCAGCCACTCTAGCTAGAAACCAAATCTCGTAATTGACCTTAACAATGCGATATTTTGTTATTATCTGCCTTCGATGGAAATTAAATCATGACAATTGAGACAAGTGAAGATAACGGCGCCTGTAGGGGACGTATCGATTCCGAAAGAAGATATTAAAACAAAACATATCAAGTCCACCATTTTTGGCAGTTTTCTATTCAAGCACCTGATAGAAAATGAAAACTCTATCTTATCTTTTCAGTGTTAATTTATTGCATTTCTTGATTCCATGAGTTTACAACAGACTGGCAGAGAAGAGCAAAGCTGCAGAGAAGAGGAGAGGAGAGGAGAGGAGAGGAGAGGAGAGGAGAGGACAGGGCAGGGCAGGGCAGGGCAGGGCAGGGCAGGGCACTGTCAGGGTCATGACTTGTCTTCAACCTGTAGAATCAGCGCAGTCTCCACCTAGTTATCCCATACATATATGGCCAAAAGTTGGTCTCCTCCTGTCCTTGGACAACACTAAGTTGCCACGACTGTTTTATTGATTTCTCAATTTTGGTTTATATACGTTTATCAGAATCCTTAGGATAGAGTAGGTTTTTCGGACTCTTGCGTAGAGGATAAAATGAGTAAGTTGAACGCCGTGTAATAAAAATGCTATACTTTACACTAGTTTTTAGCTAGTTATATCTTTCTATACTTTAATACTAATGATAATAACCTATCTGGCGTTAGTCCTTCCTCAGAGCAACTACTAGTTTATAGCACTCGAAGTTTGCATCAGGTTGATGTTATTATTTTTCACTCGGTGATGAAAATCATCTACTTGGTGCGCATGCGCATATGGCTTACCACGCTAGTTAACTCTTTTTTTTACGCCCTTTATTCTGAAAAGCCTTATAGAGGACGAATAAAGTATGTATGTATGTATGTATGTATGTAACTCGGTTTTTTCACTTTCTTTTTTCTTATCTTTTCAGGGCATGTTAAAAAATTTTCTTCCGTCAAAGTTAACAAAATAATATTTAGATTTTGATCTTTACCCCCAAGTTTTCTTGTTTAAACACGTGACGGTCAAGCTTGACACCAAGCTTGACGCATCCCACATGGAAAGGACTGACCATTGGTAGCTAGTCATCAGCGATACAAGGATCATACTGGGTCTGCTGGTCATAGCAAGGGGTTRATCATCTACGGTCTAGGGGCCGACTAACCTCTCCCTTTAAGGCTTCGGCCGAGCTTCCTGATCAGTCTGTAATTCCTCCCGGGATAGCGGTATTGGGGTCGAAATCTCCAGCGTAGCCGTAAGTCCATACCACGGTTCAGTACTAGTTGTCTGGAAGTATGGTCCTGGTTAATTTATTTAACCAACAAACATAAAAATTGTTCAAATTTGTTGAAAGTTTTTAAAATCTGATTAATACAGATAAATTGCTATTTATTGCTCGATGTTCTAGAATCATAACCGCTAGGTGYTGTCATTAAAGAATTTTTTAAATGACTTTTAAATTTCAGTCCGTTCCATAACACTAGAAAATTCCCAGGCGTTCCTAGCGTTGTTTAGGCCTAGTCTCCTTGACCGGGTCCCAACCCAAGCGAGTAGAAACAAGATGGCGGAACAGTAGGGAAACATGGCGGAAAACAAGTAAAATACAGAGCGTAAAAACAGCTTTACATCATGAGACCACCGCCATCTGTTACAGGAATATCGCCTATTGAGGGTCCACCTGGGACTCGAGTTATTATCAGAGGGGAAAATTTGGGAATTAACTTGAAAGACATCGTAGGTTGGTGTGGAATTTGATCCAATTTTATTCTGAATGAAATTAAGTTATATAAGTTATATGACTAAGCTATTTGAAGTCATCTCATTCTTTTCTTACTTAATAAGCTGGTTATTTAAATTTAAGTACGATTCTTGCAAAAGAAAGATTCATTTGAATTGTGCATATTATGAACTTTGCATAAACATCACTAAAAGCATATAGGCTTCACATACCGACAGATTGTACATTATGTGCATACGCCTACTTGTGTTGGAGATCACATATTCATTTCATATTCAAAGTTTTCTTTCAAAAGCCATATATTACTGTAAATTTTATTAGGATATTTTTAACGAAAGTCAAGCAAAAACTCAAAGCAGGAAGTTAGGAAGGTTATATGATATCCTAAAGTTTGTTAGAGGAAATTTATAAAGAAAAAGATGTGCAAAACCTGAGGGGGGGGGGGGGGGGCAGATGGGGGACTCCTATAAATGAAATTTGAAATTTTGAAAATGACCCCTAAGAGGACCTGAGTCCTGTCCAGTTTGGAGTGGGAACTAATGATCTAGGAATGCATATGACTAGCCTGAATATTAACTTGAGAATCTAGATTCTATTCAGTCACTTGTAGTTGTTAACTAAACTTGAGGTTTTATATGTATTGTTGAATATTTTTGGCATTTTTGGTGGCAATCACTCCCCAACCTCACCCCTCCCTCCCCCCAAAAAAGAATATTGGCCAAATGCTCTTGAAATGGACCAATTCCACCTGGGGCGTAATGTTTTGCCCTTTTAAGACCACATGTCATTCTCTTGAGAATTCTTTGTTTCATGTGTCTTCTCATTAGCAACTGTTTAACAAAGAAATTCTAGATTAGGAAATGACACGTGGTCTGAAATGGGAAAACATTGGATTAGGTCTATATTCCATAGTGTAAGAGACTGTTGTAACCATTACAATTTCAATTCCAGGACTGACAATATGTGGAGCGAACTGTCTGTTATCGGCAGATTATAAGTCACCCAGTAAGATAATAGCACGGACTGGCCAATCAAGGCCTGGCAAGGGAGAGGTGATTGTTACAACCAAGTCTGGTGGCGAAGGGTCATGTACTGTACAGTTCAAAAGTCTGCCAGTCATTCCTGGTAATTTAGTAGTTTATTAGCATTTTAGTTGCATATTTAATTCCTTGTTTCCTACATTCTACATTATAATGAGCTAAAACTTCACCTTATTGTCCAAAGGAACACTACCTTACATCAGCACAGGCAGCAAAGACAAACTTAAGTGGAAAGAGAGTGGAAATAATTAGAACAATGAAACTTTCCTCTGTCCTGTCCAAGGCTATACCTCGAGTTTGTATATCGGATACAACATGGCCACTCATACTGTAGATTACTTATCTAACGCCTCAGTTAGTTCCTTTGTGTTTCGCTAAAATTTTCAAGAGAAAAGTGAATCTGGCCAATAAAATCCATCTTAAAGTTTATGCAAATGAACAGGATTCTGTATCTAATTTACAGAACTCTTCACGGTCGTGATTTCTTTTAAATTTTCTTCATGAATTATTAATGAGTTTGATAATGTATTTTGTACATGTGCACTATTTTCCTTTTATTTCTGAGACATAAATAGACCTCTTGCAGTCTGTAGGAATGCAGCACAATTTGGAGGGCAAAACAATAGGTTTCCAATTCTCAGAAGATTGAAATCCTTTTGTTTTGTCCTCCAAGTTGAGCTCCTCTGACATCGCAAGTAAGGGGTCTATTAGTTGGTGAGTGCCCATAAAATGGCATGGCTCACAATGCCTTCTAAAATAATTTTAATGAATTATTCATAGAGTAGATCTAATTTTTCTTTTTTCCTTTTGTTAAACCAGATCCACTGAGAGAGTCAGCTGTCTGGATAGAAGAAGTTGATCCAGAAGAAATGGAATCAGGATCAGGATCTACTAGACCAGTGTCACCACCACTCCACCAGGACCCCCTAGGGATTGCAATTGATGTCTTTGGGTAATACCCTATTTCCA